TTGAGCTACTGCTTCTAACTGCTTTTTTCCTTGTCCCAGTTTATTCTAGCTAATATTTTTGCTATGCCTCAGGTGTTACAGATTGGCTACCTTGATGTCACACACCCACCCTGGTTCAATCAGTTTCCCCCCTGGAAAATAATTAACTAGTACTAAGCAGAGGTCAATTAGTAGGACAATTTAACTTATACATGTATGGATAGAGAGCATTAAGGGTTAGAAGTCGGTGACACAACAAATTTTATTGTCTGTCATGTAGCAGCATACGTGTATGAACATTCTCTGTGACAGCAGACTAGTAGCTCAGAGCTTACAATTTGGTGTTTAAAAACCTGGGTTTGCACCCAGAAAGACACCACCATGGAAAAGTTGTGTTACCTTGGGCAAATGCCTGTTTCTTTGAGGTTTTTCCCTTTTGGCAACATAGGATTAGCTCCTTTCTGGATATTGAGAACATACTCCTTTCTAGGTATTGAGAACACCTGGATCGCATAAGCTCCAGTGCAAACAACAGAGCCTGGGGTGTGTGAATGACCACCCTGGGGAGCTTGCTTGCAGTCTATGCTGTTCATAGGCTTGTTCGGGGATGGTCTGTAACATGCATGTTCCAGGACCTCCGGAGATTCTGCTTCTGCAGACAGGGCAAAGCACAGGGTTCAAAGTTTGTTAAGCATACCCAAAGACTATAGTTGACCCATGTTCTGACAAACACTAACGTGGAGAAAACAAGGATTTCAAATGGACAGTCACAATGGTGCTTGTTCACTGCTGGGGTGATACAACCCAGAGCTTTCAGCACCCAAAGATGAGCATCGGTTTCCAAGAAAGTCTCACAGAAATAACATCTCAATGGATAGGGGGCTTATCTAGTACAGAGAAGGGGAAGGTGAGACTGGGGCACTTGGGGGTACAAAGCGGCTACAATAAATCCAGAGGGGCAGTCAGGTCTGAGCACAGAGAACTTGATTATGTCACATTTACTTCTCTGTGGTGGGGCGTCAGACACATTCAGATAGTGAATGACAAATTCAGACTTGACTTTTAGAAAGATGATTTTTAACTTCAGTGTAGAGTATAGAATGATAGGGAAGCAATGGACTATGTGGAGACTCATGAAGAGACTGTAGTCACAGTGTATGTGGGCAGCAGTGAGGGACTGTGGCCAGGTCATGGGTATGGATGGGGCGCAAGGGACAGATATGAGAACTACATAGGGCTGGAGTGGATATAGAGTGAGCTGCCGAGTTTGGGGAGAGGTGATATCCACCATAGACTTGCAGTTGAGGGTAGATTCAGGAGAAATGTGGGAGAAAGCAGTAATGAGTTCCCACTCAGGTCTATCTAATAGGGAAGGAGGGAAGCATTTGGGAAAATGGAGACCCAGCTCAGAAGGGAGGTTTAGCTTTGTTTAGAAGTGTGCAAAGTTCTGGTATTTTGATAATAATTGAAGGCATGGCTGTAGCTGAGAGTACTTGAAAAGAACCTTAGAATGAAATGAAGGTGACATAGGATTAGAATCCCGAGAAATAAGACCCAAGAAATACCCTTTTGTAAAGGATGGGCAATGCTGGAGAGGCCATTTTGAAGGAATTGCAAGATAGTTTGGAAAAGTGGGACAATTTGGTGATGGTAATCTTGGTGAATCGATACAAAAAGTTAATAATGCAGTTAATAATGCTAGTTTTAATTAGTTTTGTTCTTTACTCTTTCACTTATCACATGGATTAGTATGTTTTTTTCTCACTATCATGTGCAAAGGTGTAACAATAAAACTAAAGTTACAGGATCATCTCTTTAACAAATGTCAGCTCAACTCTGGGGATGGAAGACACAGGTAAGTTTTTATCCCATTCTTTTTTTTTGAGACAGAGTCTCACTATGTCACCCTCAGTAGGGTGCCATGGCATCATAGCTCACAGCAACCTCAATCTCTTGGGCTTAAGCAATTCTCTTGCCTCAGCCTCCCAAGTAGCTGGGACTATAGGCGCCCACCACAACACCTGGCTATTGTTGTTGTTGTTGTTTAGCCGGCCTAGGCTGGGTTTGAACTCACCAGCCCTTGTGTTATGTGGCTAGTGCCTTAAGCATGTGGTACAGGTAGCAAGCCTTTAATTCCCTTCTTAAACAAGTAATTTGAGAATCATTTTTCCAGCTCCTACTCTGTACTTGTGTGGATGATGCAGAGGTGAAGGGAATGGTCCCCACACTCAACAACTCACCTTAGTTCCAGCCACCTTATTACTATCAGAATGGACATTAAAATGCCAAAATGTCAAAAAACAACAGATGTTGGTGTTGATGCAGATAGAAAGGAACACTGTACACTAGTAGTGGGACTATAAATTAGTACAAACTCTATAGAAAATAGTATGGAGATGCTTCAAAGAAGTAAATGTAGACTTACCATTCAGTCCAGCAAGTCCACTATTGGGTATTTACTCAAACTGAAAAATAAGTCATTTTACCAAAAAGACACCTGCACTCAAATATTTATCACACCATAATTCACAAAGATGTGAAATCAACCTAAGTGCCCATCAATTCATGAGTGGATAAAGAAAATGTGGTATTAATATATACTATGAAATACTACTCACCCATAAAAAGGCATGAAATAATGTCTTTTGTAGCAACTTGGATGGAACTGGGCACCATTATGCTGAGTGAAGTATCTCAGGAATGCAAAAACAAACACTACTTGGGAACTAAGTGATGGGCATACACAGGCATAAAAAGATGTAGAAGTCACTGGAAAGAAGAGGAGAGGAAGAGAGGGGGAAGGGGATGAGAGGTAAAATCTTACCCATCAGGTACAATGAACACTATTTTGTTGACTGGCACACTAAACATCCCAGCTTAAGCAGTATTCATGTAACAATAACATTTGTATGCCCTTGATATTTTGAAATCAAATATAAAAAAGTAAAGTAAATGGCTCGGCACCCGTAGCTCAGTGGTTAGGGTGCCGGCAACATACACCAGGGCTGGCAAGTTCAAAGCCAGACCGGGGCCTGCTAAACAATGACGACTACAACAAAAAAAAATAGCTGGCCGTTGTGGCGGGTGCCTGTAGTCCCAGCTACTTGGGAGGCTGAGGCAAAAGAATCCCTTTACCCCAAAGGGTTTGAGGTTGCTGTGAGCATTTTACCTAGGGCAACATAGTGAGACTCTGTCTTAAAAAAAAAAAGAAAGAAAAGAAAAGAAAAAAAAGTAGACATCTGGATACTAAATGATGGTTCTGCCAAGAGTGGGCCAAGGAGGACGTAGGAAAGACTTAACGTGGCAGAGAGTATGCTGACTGTCAGAAGGGATCATAATGTGGTGAAAATGAGCCACAGAGAGGTTACAAGAGAGGCGAGCTTTAATACAATATAGTCAACGAATAAAACAGAAGGTTTTGCTGCAAAATGGAAAGAGTACAAGTCAAGGTTCTAGTCCTGCTACCACCTCTACTAGGCCGCCCCGGGGAAGTTCTTTAGCTTTCCTTGGAATGGCTCTGTTCTCTAGAATCTGCGAGCAGCACCCTAACAATGAGTGGAAGGGAGACTGGCTGCAATACACACCATCCAGTTTTTGCAGGCATTTCCAACAGGTGATTTCTCAGGGAGCCTGAGCCAGAAGTTGGGACAGTAGCAAACAGGAAGGCTAACTCGACTTTCTGTGCTTGGCCTAACAGGTGTACGCGGCTGACTCTGTTTGTTCCTGGTTGTTGATGGGATCAGATGGTTCATGTCTAAAGAGAGACAGAAAGAACTGTGTGGCGTTTGAGAGAAAGGGCCTTAGAGTAAGACTAGTGCTTAAATTCCGGATCTGCCTCTTATCCCCTGGGGGACCTTCGGCAATTTATTCCACCTCTCTAAACCTCAGTCTTTGTTACCTAAAAAATTGGGATAAAGATATGTACCTCGCCGGGGATGTAGTGGATATGGAAGAATACTGTGTGCAAACCCCAAAGCACGGTGCCCAGCATAGAGCAGCTGGTCACAAAAGGAAGCCTGTGGCCCGTCGCGGCTGGCCACGGTGATCTCTGACACCCAGGAAAAGGGGGTGGACGCACAAATGGCAGTCGCTTCCTTCCGCAGTCGCCCCTAGGCAGAAAGCCGGCGTCCTGGAGCTCCTTGGGGCTTTCCACGGGCGGAACCAGGATCGGGTGGGACCCCGGGGCCCCTCGCGTGAACTGAGGCGGCGAGAGCCGGGGCGGGTCTATCTCCGAGGCCCGGCGGGAGTCCGAAGGGAGACTGGTCTCCCGCCCTGGCGACCCGGGGCCGGTTGCGAGGCCGGAGCCAGGACGAAGAGGAGGGGCGAACCGGCCTTTCCCCGCCTCCCTCCCGCCTCCATAAATCACCGCAGCTGCGGCGGCGGCCGCGCCGGGAAGTGCACAGAGCCGGAGCGCAGCGCGGTGGCACCAGACGCCGCCCTCTCCCTGCAGCTTTCTTTCTTTCTGTTGTGTTTTGTGAACCTCCCCTTCCCTGGCTCGCTCGGGCGGCTGCCTTAGCCTTGCGGCCCGGCTGCCGCTTCTCCCTGGGAGCCGCCTCCCTCCCTAGCCGCCGCCGGGAATCGTGGAAGCCACAGCCGCGCGGCCCTCTCAGCCCGACCTGCGACTCTCGGCTCTCGGGAACGCCTGCCGCGCCGCTGGGCCGTGCGGGGCGGTGCGGGCGGGTTCCCGGGGCTGCTCGCGCCGCCGCTTCCTCTCCCGCCCGAGCCGGGCGATGGTGGCTGTCCGCGCCCCCGCGCTGTAGCCGGCGCCGCCGCGGCGCGGAGACGAGTCTGCAGAAGAGGGAGAAAGTTTTTCTGGGTGCGCCGAGTGGGCCCTGGGCACACCTCCCACCGCCCCCTCCCCGCCTCCCCGCGCCTGGAGCCGGTTGGCGGGGAGTTGGGGGAGGCAGCATGGCCCGGCCGCCCGAGGAAGAGGAGCCGGCGGGAGTGGCTGCTGTGACCCGCCGCGGTCCGGGCTCGCCTGGCTGGACTGGGGCGGGAGCCGGGGCTGGGACGCGCCGGCCGCCCCTCTGGCTGCTCTGCCTGGCCGCGTGCTGGCTCCTGGGCGCCATGGCCGACGCCGACTTCTCCATCCTGGACGAGGCGCAAGTGCTAGCGAGCCAGATGCGGAGGCTGGCAGCCGAGGAGCTGGGGGTCGTTACCATGCAGGTAAGGGGCCCTCTTCGTGTCTCTGACCTTGCCAGGCGTCCTGCTTCTCTCCTCCGCGCCTTCCGCGGTGCAGGTCCCCTTGACTGTACATCGGTTCCTCTTTCGTGCGCGGATACCCCTTTCTCACCGGCCCTCTCGCTCCTCTGCACAGACTCCTGACCACCCACCTGCCCTCCATGAACTCGCCTACCCCCTTTTCCTCCGCAGAACCCCTGCCCTCTGTCCACTTCCCCAGCACAGCCCCCTCTTCTGCGCGCCAGCTTCTTTATCTCGAAAGGGTTCTTGGGTTTCCTCGTATTCCCTTCCCTCATTTGCACACCTTCCCCAGTAGAATTGTTTCCTCCTCGTCAGTCTTGCAGACTCCCCTTCTTTCTTTGTGTCCCCATCCCAGGGCGGGCAGCCCCGACTGGCTCGTACGATTTTCCTAGGCTCCCACCGCGGTGCCTCTTTGATCGCGTCCTCGGGCCCAGCGCGAAGCCGACGGTCCCGGGAGGGGGGCGCCGCGGTGTGTGCAGCCGCCCCAGGACCCGCGGAGCCCCGGGGCCAGCCTGGCAGATTCCGGGTGCATTCCGACAGTAGTCTTGGTGGGGGGCTCTTCTTGTTGCTTTCCGCTTCTCCTGCTGTGGGTTGTGTGCTGTCCGCTGTATGATTTTTGTTTTGTGTGTGCCTTTTTGTGGTGAGAAAAAGAGTAAAGTGAGTAAGGTCCTAATTTTTCCAGATTGTTTACCCTGCTGGTCGGGGGGTGGGGTGGAGCTACAGAAAAATTGCCCGCGGCCGTTAAGGAGCCCTGGTGATGCTACCTATGACCTATAGTAGTAAAAACTGCTAAACTGCAGGCACCATTATCTTAACCTACTTGACAGAGAAAGCCACAGGATTAGGAGAGGCTGAGACGGCATTCTGAGTCTGAGACCTTTGCTGTAACATTCTTGCGTAAAGTAACACCATCCTTTTCTCTACGCGTTTTGACGACAACCATGATGAATGTGGTCTTCGCTAGAGCGAAATTTCCAGGCATGTGTGCTTGGGGTAGCTTTTTGATTTCCATCTAGTGTGGCCGCTCCTTTTACCTCCCACCGAGGGAGGTGTTTGGGTCACGTCGGCATTCCGGTTTCGGACGTCTTTTTTATTTTTATTTTTAACTTTATTCCCGACTCCAATCACCTCCCAAGGCAGATAAGATTTTCCTAAACCAAGTTCCACAGACAGTTTTCATTCTAGCAAAAGACAATTGGGATTTTTTTTTTTTAAGGGTGAGGTAAGATTATTTTGCTTGAAAGGGAATTTTACATATATTTGCTAACACCTCTAGTGCCACAAAGTCAGATTTTTTTCATTTGCATAACAATAGGTAAGCCTTTAAGATACATAATTTAACTACCCCTTCTTTTCCTTCTTTCAGGTTCTGAGTCCGTTAAAATTTTTCCATATACATTTCTGATTTGTGATTATTGCTGCCTTCTTAGAGTGAAGTGACTTTTGAAGGAGATGGAAAACTAGGGTTTTCTTTTTATTGGTGAATGATCCAATTCAGAACACAACAGAATTGTATTTTTGCATGGAGGCACCCTTTTTAAGAAAGGAAATTTAATATATGGGCATTTTGAACTGTCTGTGGAATTAGTCAAGAAATTACTAAGGCTAGTCAAGAAATCTTAGGAGTCTTTTCCCCCTCCCCGTGTAAACTAACCGCTTGCTTATTCTAACTGTTGATGGCTGTTTTACTGTTTCACACCCCGTCCTTGACAAAAGGTGAAATGGGATCCCAACATATTGTTATTCAGGTAGGGATACTAAGCAAACGTAATTTAAAAGACTTCCCAGTTGAAAAAGAGACACTTTAGGAAAAAAAGCTCTGATCGATGGGGGGTTTGTGCCCAAATGGCCCTTTTTCTCCTCCCAACTGGCCTCTTTCTAACACCTTTGCAGCCGCTTTGTGGAAACAGACCTCCTGTGGACAGGTTTTTGTCTGGCAAAATGAGAAGTGCACTCTCTCTCTTTCTCTCTCTCTTTCTCTCACTCTCTTCTCTCTGAGATGCACATACTGGATTTAAATTCCTCTTCTTGAACTGTGCATTGATCTGCCACTTGCCTCTAATTTTTTCCTCTGGGAAAATTAAAGAAAGTCTCTTTTTAATTTGAACTATCATGAGAATACTGGTAATAACTGTAATGCAGGTTAGATTTCTGGCCTTTTAAATGAAGATAGTAAGCCACATATTCTTAAGTAAACCTTTGGGATTTGTTCATTGGGTCTGAAATCGTTTGGGTTTAGTTACATAAAGTACAGATTATGTGATAGTCCTTTGCAGAATTCTGGGCTTTACATAGAGCTAATATGTTATTCAGAGGTAGGTGGCCTTACACGGATGCTCAGGTGAGATGGAGCGGGGCAGATGTGCATGTGAAGATGCTGAGGGGGAGGAGTTTGCATCTCTGCTGAAAAGAACACCTTCCCTCTCGATCACAGGACTGACTTCCTTCATTTGACCCTGGCATTTCAAGCACAACATTGAAATTTTGTGGCCTTTTAAGACAGTACCATTTTATGAGTAACTTTCTGTAGGTCTATTCACATGTAAAAAGCCACTTTTCAGACTTGCATATTGCTTCTGCTGCTGAAATTCTCCAAAGACAATTTCTAATTTTTAGAAATTGCAAAGTCGCCCTCAAAATAGGCCTGTTGTTTTGTAGCACTTAAATGGCAGCACATACTACCCACTACAGGTTGGGAGGGGTAATTCTACAACTCCCCCACCCACTTCAGCACTGTTGTTTTTGTGCTTGCTGCTAGAGAAGGCACTTTGAAAAGCAGTCTGTCATAAAGATTTTCTTGGAAAGGTTTCTAATGAAGCTGCCTACTCATGATTTTTTTGTTATTGTTCCTTCACAATAATTGACAAAATTAAAAATATATATCTTTAAATGAGTTACACCAACCAATTTTGCCAGTGCCCTAGGAAAGCTGCCCCTGAACACTGCCCCCTGGTGGCAGACATCACAAATCATGAGTAAAAGTCAAAGACCTAATCATGTCTTCTGCAAGGGGTCTGCAGAGTGAAACCATCAACTTTGATGTTGAGGTCTGGGAGCATTGAATAACGTGACCATGGAGACTTGTTTCTGCCTGTTCATTCATGCAACAAGTTTTTATCAAGCATAGCATTGTGGAGTGGAAAGATCTCCACATTGGAGCCTGGAGATCTGGATTCCAGCTCTGCCACTTAGGAGTTGAGTGATTTTATCTATAAAACTAGGAGGATAATTCTAGAGATTTGCTGTGTGGACTTCATGAAAACAGTGCCTGTGAAGGCACCTGTTAGTGTTAGGCTGGGGCTGAGGATTGTTGATGGATATGATGGTTGTAAAATGGGAGAACTACTGAAAGCCACCTGAACTTGGAGCCCTTTGTGCCAGGAGGTTACCACAGGTGTTCCAGCACAGCCCCTTGAGGAGTTTCTGTTCTTCTTTATATTCTGAAGCAGGCAGTGAAACTGAACAGGTAAAGCAGCAAAGTGACAATGCCAGCTTGTTGGAAGGCATATCTGGCTCTGGGAGCCATTTCAGCAGGTACTTATAAGGCTCATTTAACGTTATATGACAATACAGGCTTCCTAACAGCAAGGGCCTGGCATGGGGCCAGCGTGCCTGCCTTGACGTTAGCTCACACCTAGCTCTGCAGGGCTGGGCACACTCACTGTGAACTTGGTGGACAGACCAGCAGGTTGGTCCGATGGTTGCTGAATGGGGTCTGGGAGGGAGGGAGAAGTGGGGTTTCTTCCAGTTGTGGCAGGAGAAATAGCCAGAAGCAAAAGCTCACTGATAGAAGAGCCACAGCTAGGACAGAAATAAATTTGGACACTGAAGATGCAAGAGCAGCGTGCCCAAAGCTGAAAGTGGAAGCTTTGTGTGCATACCCAGCAGTGGTAGATTCAGTGTTCATCGTGACATGCATCCAGCCAGCTTTGGGGGGCTGCTACTATGAGGGGTCTTGGGGCTAGACTAAGTTGGCAGTAAAAGATGACTAAGGACTGGTCCTTGCCCTTAATCTCTCAACAAATAATGGAAATAGAGAAAGAAATGACATGATATGGGTTATTAGGAAAGGTGTTGCACTGCAGTGGACAGGTGTGATACTGAGGGGAGAGGCAGAGCATGGTGGGAGCAGAGGAGCCTTGTTCACACCCATCTGGGGAAATCAAGGTAGTTGCCTATGTTCACCCTTGGTCTTTTCAGTGACATGTCCACATACAAAGGCCAGTCTTGAAAGCAGCAGTAGCCTCAGATGTGAAGGGTAACCAAATCAGTCATTTGTGAGACATTTCTAATTCCTTTTGGTGGTGCTGGTCAGGCTAACTAGTGTGTCTGGAACACCTGAACAGGAGGTTGTTCTGCCACTTCACTTAGTGTCCCGTCTTATCTCTTTGGCCATCACCCTGGAGCATCTGTGGTTACTGGACATGAGTGTCCTGCTAGCTGTGTGGCAGGCTGGTTTGCAGTTATATTTAAGAGGTGTATATCCTGAATCATGTGTACCACACCAGGAACTACCTGGTAAGGAATGATTTGAATCCACATTCTAATTCCACATAGAATGGTTTTTTTTTTGGGGGGGGGGATCACCTGTATTGCAAATAGTGTGGTTTAATTCTATGCCTGTATACAATATAAGCCTTAGTAGAAAAACTGCTGTGTTATGTACATTCTTTTGAAAGCTAATATTTGTGGAGTATAAGAAAACTGACCACTGATAGACCGACACCAAGTTGAAGTGTTAAGAATGAACCTGAGGAAGCGTGTTGGGTGACTGATGCTCAGCCCTGTGTGTCAGCATCCCGCCACTTCCTCCTCACTGAGGCCTGTCTTAGCTGGCCTGGATGGACCGAGGCGCTTACTCTTGTTTTTCCTGCCCATTGAACTTGAGTCTGGGAGGGATTGGGGGAGGGGAAGGAGATGCTTTACACTTTGTAACACGTTGATGCTATTTCTAGTTGCTGCTT